GGGTGAAGACAGGAATGAGGCCGGTGCTATTCACCAGTTGGCTTTGATGTAAATGCAAGAAAGGAAAGAAGTTGGGAAAGGGGAAAGCTGCTCTAGCAGGTACACTGTTACTTTTACTTCTCTTGGATTGAAGATCCAATCCAATATATAAGTAGAAATCAAATGTTAAAGCTTGGAACCGGGATGAACACAAAAGACTTCATTCAGCAAGCACTCAATGACTTTGACATGGCAAAAACATCCAGGGTAGACAATACCCCAGAGTATTGTAATACCTGGGATTTCTGCTCCCGATAGACAAAACTCTGCTTGGAGGATACAGAAGTATGACTTCCAAGGTTACAACAGAAACCTTTATTACAAACCGGAAAGGCTCTAAAAATACTTTAATATTGTAATGTGCATTTGAGTATGTAACAACAAAATTCTTATTTACATAAAAAAGAATCATACTAGGTTCCCCATATAAGAGATAGGTACTACTAAATCCACAGTTATGTGAGCGTAGGATTTTCTATTTACTGTCTTCTATATACATAAACAGAATATTTGGAAATTAGGTAATAACACATATTTAAGTTTATTTAAGAGTCGGTACAGAGTACGTCCTAATTATGATGTATTTTACATCTGAAAATAACCCAAGATAATTATTATTCGCCCATTTTTAACTAAAAGATAGGTAACAGCCCCCTGGCTGTATGCCATGTTGCTGCTATGAATGACCCCACATTCAGACAATCTGTACAAATGAGCTTTTAAATAAAGGTTGGTAAAGCACCTCTCCCTCAGACCACCGGAATAAAATACATCACGTCATGGTCTAGACAAGTCTACTTAAATGGAATGTAGTCGCCTGTAAAGACACAAACAAAAGACTTTTCTGAGCATGTGCCATTTCCCCCTTCTGAACGCAGAAAGGGGACCATGCTGAAAGGACCCGAGGCACGATATACGGGCAGGCCAGCCTCGGTAACCCAGAGGGATGGCGAGGTGCATCATTGCAGCTCATATGTTGGTTTTTAGGACATGGCTTCGATCAGTCATCTTGTGTATGGTTTGAAAGAGGCTGTCTCACTGGCGGGCAAACTGTTATTTAAGTACACCATCCACTCTACTACTGAAACAGTTTTGCCAAACTTATCCAAGTAGTCTCACATGCTTAAAGACGGTATAAATATCATTTATTGCCAGCAGTTTTCTTCAGACTATATGGAATGTCTTCCTGCTGCCTGATCTAAGTGTCCCAGTTTACATTATGGCCTTTACTGCCTCTGTTTGATGGAGTGATCAGTAAAAATTTAATGACACTATAAAATAATAAAAATGTCATTAATTTACCACGGATGTTGGATGCAGTGGTTGTAAAGTTACATTAATAAACAGAATATTTTTTACAACAAAAAGCATTGTTACGTGGGAACGTATAAATAACACACATAAATTTAAGAGCAATTTTACTGTTAGCACACACATTATTATGGAATAGCCAATAAGTGTATAAAACATAGTATATAAAATTTTATTAAAATATACTGTGCACATCAAGAATTCAGCTTTTATCTAAGTGCAAAGAAAAGCCATTATTGTGCGCTTACTGTTTCATTGCTGTTCTTTCCCGGGATCACAATTTTACATTTGTTGCCAGTAAGAGGAAGTTGATTTCCTTTCCTAGATAAAAACAAACCTTCGGTGTTTTAGTCACCCCGATTCATTCTCTCTCCACTGATGCAAGGATGTAACTGATCAATCTTGCCATGGTGGGGAGGGACGGAAAAGTTGCTAATTTAATGCAAAGTTAAAAATAATGCCGGAGGAGCTGAGTGGTTTGTTCAATGAGTCTGGAAATAAGGGATAATAATCAGAGTCTGCCTGTCACCAGTGAGGCTGCCCCGTCATTGACTCCGATGATACGTGGAGATGATGGATGCTACCATCTTGTGGCTTGTAACATTTAGCATTCATCAGCTCTCACTAAAGGGGGCTTTATCATTTAAATATCTTTATTTAATATGCAACATCTACCTCATACATCATAATTTCAAAGCACTTAGAGAACCAGCAGTCCCTACAACACAGCAGAGCTGACTTTAATTTTTTTTCAATAACTTTTATGTTGCCTGCATGTTTGTGACTGGCAATGCATAAGTAAGTGTCTGATTGTGTTGCTGCATTTAAAATACACATTCCACTATCAACATGAAGACCAGGGAATTTCTAGAGGAGGGCATGAGATTAGAGTTCCACTGAGGAATTTTGCTCCTATCTCTGGATTATCCTTCTTGGGAGCTGTGTACATGGAGCGGCTAGTTCAAAGGATGGGGGTATTTGGGGCCTGCCATCCAACGTCTATCTTTAGTCCATATAGGGACAAGCCCACTGGCATTTAATGGCCCAAAGACTAAGCTTCTTGGAACTGAGGTATCTTCGTACTTTCTCTGCCCATGTCCACATCCTGTTTACGAGGCTCATGTCCAACCTCGCTGGAAAAGTCTTTGCTTCACCCAGCTGCCCAGGCCTAACTGGTAGACATCAGGCCCTCTTATCTTATGGTTCCGTGGCTGGCAAATAAATATTCTCAGTTATTCTTTGAAGAAAAGAAGGAAATCTTCTGGGAGACTAGGTAGAAATGTATATGAAAGCACTTGGCTTTGCAGGGCCCTGCTTTAATCTCAAACAGTACTTAATGTTATCAAATTGAAAATGCAACCCGCTGCCCTAAACGCTTCTTATCATTGATTTACTTTCTGCCCATTTAACTAGTATTTCAGGGGATATTCTTCCTTGCCTTCCACTCTGTCAAAATATTGATATTTTATGGGAAGAGTATCTTTGCAAAAGGCTTTTTTCTTTAGTGAAGTCAGAAAAACTGTATGACTTCAGAGACACCATGAATGTGTTGTTGAACGTTCTGAATGTTTTTTGTTCTGATTAAAAACAAGCTGATACTCCTGAATTGTGAGTACACTTCATTTTTATAAAAGGAAAGGTATTATCATCACGTAAGCTTTGTTGTCTCAGGATTTTACAAACCATGGCATGTAATCTTTCCTCTTCTCCTTCCCTGTCAAAATATTGATATTCTTTCAGGAACTTTATTTTTTTTAACTGAGAATATTTTCCGGTAAAATCAAAGAGAATGAATGACTAGAAAGATACTTGAAATATGCATATTGATGGTAGCACAGTCTGTTGATTTGCAGAGAAAGTTGCCCCCCTCCAAGAAAATACAGTTAAAGGTTGCTCTTCCAAGAACACTGCAGGTGTCACATCAGAACTCCTGCCCGCAGCAAAGGGTAAGAAGCATTCACATGCAAAGAGGAGAGAGAAACAATGCGGTGAACAAAGGCTGACACTCTGCCTCGCCTGCTGCCGTACATCCTCACTTTAATTCCTTCTGCTTACATCACCACAACCCAAAGTGCTACTCAGAAATAGAAGCAGGCTGATGAAAAGCAGCTATCCTTCCCGACGATGTGTGAGGCTCCCGCATGCCTGGTGGCTGTGGTTGTTTTGTGCTGTGCCCTGCATCTGGGTTAATTTGTTCACGTGCAGCCGCGTTTTTCACATAGGAAGATATCAGGAGCCGTACTCACTTGGGTTTTTATTTTCAGCCCGTCTTTTATACTTGTCGTATTTCAGAGGTCTCCCCACACACTGCTGTTGAAACAGTTAGTGTTACCCGGTTGGAAAAATGCATGATGATCACTTTGTTGCAGTTCTTTCCTGGAAACGGTGCTAGATTAAAGCGAGGTTTATGCTGTTTTCGTCCAAGGCAGATTTCAACATATCCTATGATGAGGAGAACCGGAAGGCTTCCTGCAACAATTTGACTGATGGGAATTAATTATAGAAATATAATGATATTCAAAAATAATCATATTAGAAAGCACAAATGCAGTGAGACTGTACAAATGAGGCACAGCCTCTATCAAGTAATTGTATGTTTGCTCCTTAAGAATATTTCCAAGTTCTTAAACATCCTACAGAGGAGAAAATGCCGAGTGTTCCCATCAGATGCCGGCCATGCTCAGTGCGGAACTAGGTCATCGAACAATGGCTACACGCAGTCAGCACTCCACCGCTGCATAATGCATTAAGTGTCACATGCAGAAACTATTCCCGGAGCTGCAAGCCGCTATTTCATGTCTGTAAATTCAAGCTGACATGACATTTAATATTGTTTCATAGTAATGAACACCAAGGTTTCATTCATTCACAAGCAGAACACAAAGCCAAGTTTGAATCTGGAGATCAGCACAGAGGCAGGCGCGGGGACACGTGCTGGGTTTGTGCAGACAAGAACAGCGTGTTAACTGCGGTCAGCAAGCCCTCTGCCACTGGTCTGAGAGCTGCACGGCTGCTGTGGCCTGTGGCCTTGACTCCTGCTCTTGGAGGCGACACCTTTGTGTCCCCTCGGAAAGCACACGGGTGTGGAAGTCCCTAGACTCCTTGACTGGCTGGGAGAACTGGCCTTCTTCTCAGTTCCCAGGAAGCCGCAGTTGAACACAATATTCATCACAATAACAACAAAGACTAGGTCTAGTCTACCCGCCTTGAAGTATTTGTTTTTGAAATCCTGGAACAAAAATTCTAGTTTGTTTTTTTCTCAGAATTCTGACACAAATTATGGTCTCCAAAGGGGAAGAGTCCTGTCCATGCAGTTTCACAGTAGGTTTGAATGAGAACTGCTCTTTCAAGTTTTTGCACCTTTGCCCCAACTGCCTCTGTTACATTCCTTGTAGATTACAGGTGCAAATCCACAGTGGGGAGACCTGCAAGGGTAGCTCTGGCAGGCTCCCTGTCACAGGTTCCCTTCCTTACAGGTTCTGTGGTCTAGATGCTATCAGTCCACAGTCAGCCTTCAGCAGAATCTTCAGAGCCTGAGTGGGTCAGAAATTGTTTGGTACAAGTTTTGCCGGTTAAGCAAGAGAGAATCGGGAAGAAACAAAGTGGCTGTTGTGGATCTAGAATAAGCCTCTGATTGTCCTTTTCTTTAGGAAAGAACACGTTTTGAGAACTTGGGGCCCCAGTTAACAGGAAAGTCAAATGAAGATGGAAAGCTGGGCCCAGGCGTCATTGACCTCACTCGGCCGGAGGATGCGGAGGGTAAGTGACTTCTTTCTGGCTAGATTTGCTGCCCTGTGTCTCTGAAGGTATGTCCGTGTTAGATGTGGGTTCCTATGGCCCTTCTCGAGAGTTGTCCTCTGAATTGTCTAGGCCAAAAGACAAGAAATGGTGATCTTCAGTCCCTGTTATATGTCTAGAGCTGGAGAAGCTGTGAGATTCTATATTACTGAATATTCAGATATCTAGGTACCTGGTGTCATTTTAAAGTTTAAGTGAAAACTGTCTCTATTCCAATGAGTAAAACTTTGGGTTTCCTCCACATCACTAGATATTTATTAAGAAAAAGAGAAAACAGGGGCCTGGAGAGATGGCTCAGCAATTGAGAGCACTGACTGCTCTTGGAGAGGACCTGGGTTTGGTTCCCAGCACCCACGTGACAGCTAACAATCATCTGTAACTCCTGTTCCAGGGGATTGGATGCCTTCTTCTGACCTCCACAGGCATTGCACACATGGGTGCACTTACACACATGCAGGCAAAACACTCACAAACATAAAATAAAAATAATAAATAATAAAATATTTTTTTAAAAAAGAAAAAGCGAAAACAGACAAGGGAAGACTTTTTAAAAACAATCTAGCTCAAGTGAGTCCTAGGCACGATCAAACCATTTGGGGAACTAAATGAGCTTCTGACAGACCAGCAGAAACCCACTAGTTGCTTGGGAAAGGGCCAGTCCTGGGCCCACACACTAACTCTGACTGAAGCCCATTCAATGCCTGGCAGAAAGTGCAGCTTCGCTCTGGGGATGTCTACCTGCACATCTGTCAGTGCCCGTCCTCATCACTTCCTTTTCTGTTTGTCTGTCTTAAATGTACCAAGTAGCACGTCAGCAGAAATAGTTCTCCAGAAGCTGGGTACAATTTATAGTTTAGGTCAGCACTTTGCCAGTAATGTTGCCTGGTTATTTACTGTGTCATCATGGAGTGGAGACTGGTTTTCCTGTTAGCTCTTTCTTTGGCAGAATCTCTCCCACCAGTCAGGGAAGATTAATTTGTTCTCTTAAGAGTAACGTGATGCTTCAGCCATCTCGGATCCCAGCTAAAGTCCTCTTTTAGCATGAGGTGAAGAATCTTACCAGTATCCCTTTTACTGACAGGGCCTCTTCCAAGACCCTGATCCCTAAAAACATACAGAGACCTTTCTTAGCAGCACCTGCACTGGGCCTCCCCAGGCACTTTGGAAATCCCTGGCATGAGCAGAGATGAGTGCTGTCGGACATTAGCACGGCTTCAGAGTTTCCGGAAGGCACGGTTTTCATGCCAGTTGGCAAGACTGATGTTTGATGATGGTCCTGGGGACAGAGTGTCAACATAAATTTTTATTGGTATGTGCATGTGTGTGCATGTTTGTGTGTTGAGGGAGAGAAAGAGCAATGGGAAAGGAAAGACAGAGATGAGGAAAGGGAAGAGGAAATGAGTAGGAAGTGAGGGAGAGAGGGTGTTAAACGGGACTCTTCTTGTTCTCTTCCCTGAAGCCTGTGTACCGAGGGCGCACAGACATTGTCATAGGCACTGAGAAGAGTAGCTTTCTGCCAGTGAGGGTCGAAACACTTCTGACTAGCCAGCCATGGAGTCCAAATGATGAGCTTGGTATGAGTTCGACTTCTGGCCTGATGGTCTGCAAACAAGTGTTTCAGGTTTGCCCAAGTTTCACTGGAAGCTGATGCTGTGGAATACCTCAAACTTTGACTATCCAGAACGAACTAAGTTGTTTTCACCACTTTGGGGTGTTCAGTTTGTTCACGTGACTATTGGCTAGGAATTTAGAGTTCTATCAGCTGATCCTTGCTCTGATAGACTTTCCATTTGGTTTCTCAATTATGCTAACTACGAATAGAGTCAGTTTTCTCTCAGTCATGCTGATAATCAACTTGATGAGATCATGTGAATAGAGTTATTAACCATTGGAAAAGATAAAAGTCTTAACAGCAGAGAAAAATATTATAGAAGTAACTGGAAATTCCATTCAATACCCAGATTGTCTTGACTCAGAAACGTTTTTCTAGTTACTATTTTTTAGCACGTATGACGTACTCATATGCCAGAGGATCATTTTGCTTTTCAGCCTTTTCTCAAGTAACTCCTTAGACATTCTGTGAAGAATGCATCATTTAATTCTTGTTATTTTTATTTGGGGATAGGGTCTCATTATGTGGCTTAGTTGGCTTTGAACTCATGATCCTCCTGTCTCAGTCCCTCAAGTGCTGTATGTGCTCTACCACACCCGGCTGGTATTATTTTTTCTCCATTTTACAGGTTAGAAGATTGAGGTTGCAAATAATTAAACAGCTTGCTGTAAGGTACATAGCTCATAAAGACAGAGCTAAGACATGATGCAAGGCTTGGCTTCTGGCTGCCATGCTGCACCTCTGTGTAGACAGATGACTATATGGTGCCTTCATTTTTTTCTGAACAAACTCCTTGTGACCTTCCAGTGTGGCCCATTTCCTCTCCCCTAAATATAGCTGGTCATGCCATACATCAGCTCTCAGGTTACCCCATCACACAGAGCTGCAGCCTGATGAGTGTAACAGAAGAAGGGCGGTAGTGGCCCAGGAGCTTAAGGAGCGTGTGAAAACCTCCCTTCAGAAGCTTGCCCAGAGTTGCCATTGAGACCTCGTGTACTTCTGGGGGACTGTGAGTTCATGAATGGAGTCGGGTTACCTGCTCAAATAGGGACAGCAGCACAGTCCTTTGTGAGGACTTCTGGGGCGGGGGAGCAGCCTTCTGCTGACTTCAGGCTATTTCCTGGCATCCGTTCAAGCCTAGCTGATTGCAGAGCCTGCTGGAGTCTCAGTTCATGTTAAAGTCTGAGTAGATAACAGGTATGCGTGATGCTTCTCTCTTTCGCTCCTTCATACCTTCCCTCAGCGTGAAGATGTAGAAGGGCGGAAGTCTCAGAATTGCAACAACAACACAGTGTTTGTTCCTTCACTCCACCAAGCCCACGGTTCAACAAGACAGACGGCCAGCCAGCAGTAGCTGCGTGTGCCGGCCCCTGAGCTAGACCCTGGGTAGGCAGGGGAAGTGGAACAGTGGCTCTCCTTGAGCTCCTGGAGCTTATGGTCTAGTGAAGGAAGACAGAAGGTTAGAAGGGAAATCTGTCCAAGCAGAAGAAATACATTATGGTGACTGAGAACAGACTCTAAGAAGAGCAAGACTTTGTGGTCCTCTGCCAAGAGCTCAGAGGGAGCGGCAGAGCGTTGTGCCTCTAGCTTGGGAGGGCTCCTCCAGCCAGTAATCTCAATGGGCTCTGCCCGCCTGGCACTTCTTCTCAACCCTCCTGAGGGGCTCCTGAAGTTCCGAATCCAGTCAATCGGAAGACGAGGTTCTGTTCCCTCCAGGCTCCCCAGGAAAATGTCTGCCAGCTGGGAAAAGGGAAGTGCTACTTAGTGAGCAATTGCAGACCTGCCTCGCAGCCCTGGGCATGGAGGCAGCAGAGGAAAGGTCACCCAGAGAGGCAGCTGTGCATGTGTATTAACCACTCATCAAAATCAAATGACAAAACCATCACAAGGAAAACAGAAATTAAAAATATAAAAGGCAAGTGTTTTCAAAATTTTATTTTTAAAGTCCAGCTGTTATTTGGCTTGAATGTGACAAGACAGCATTTCTTGTTCTCCATGATATTTATAAAGCTACGAATTCATTGGTGCTGGGGCTTAGGAAACATGGCTAAGGTCATGTACTCTGAAGCTGAGGAAGACTTAACATGTGTTGAATACACACAATCTTTGAGCTTCTCTACAGGACATATAAGAAGGAGACAACTTGACTAGATGGGTCTGTCACCTTGTATTAAGAATGACAAACAGCCAGGCATGGTGGCACACGCCTTTAATCCCAGAAGGCGGAGGCTGAGGGTATAGGGAGACCATGTCTCAAAAAAGAAGAGAAAAATAAAAGAATGCCAAACAGCTGTGGAACCTTGTACGGGCTTTCTGTGCACTGCTTTTCATCTCTTTGCTCTGTGTAGGCAAGAGCTCACTTCTTACCTCAACGCTCCTGATATCAAAGTCGCATTGTGTAGTGGAAAGACCCTGGCTTGGTTATTGGGCAGTTTAGCTTAAAGTTCCTTTGCCCAGTGATGGAAAACAAGTGACTAATGCCTCTGAGACTGTTTTTTATCTTTTAAAAGAGACGTGTTGGGTTTGATTATCTTTAAGGTCCCTTCCAAATCCATGATTGATATTAGGGCCTTTAAAAACACAGCCTGCTTCTTGTAAGAAAACTGATATATCCACAGTAAGTTCCATTTTGTTTTTGCAGAAGAAGAGAATAGCGCCTTACAGAATGTATTTCTGCCACTCGCTGAATTGAGCTTTCGTGTTCTTTGAGCCTTACTGTTTATTAATGAGCAGCTCTCCAGCAGTATTTTCCAATTACCGTTCACAGATGAGCCCTTCCTTCTCTGCCTCCTGTTTCTCTCTCTCTCTCTCTCTCTCTCTCTCTCTCTCTCTCTCTCTCTCTCTCTCTCTCCTCTCCTCTCCTCTCCCTGCCTCTGTTTTCTCTCGTTCTCTCTTAAACCTGAGGTTTTACACTGTTTTCCAGTAAGAAAACATTCTTTGTATCAAGTATTCACCTTCAATTAAGTCCTAGCCTCAGAGAGAGCTGCATTTGGATGTGGAAAGCAGTGGAACACGAGCCTAACATTGAGGGATGAGCTCTGAAAGGGATTGTTTTTGGCTGAGTTTTGGAACCTGATTGGAACTGGAAGGATGTGGTGCCTTGTATTAAGACTCACATTTAATTGAATGGAGATGGATATGTACACCAAGAATACCCCTGTTGAGGTGTGCGGCTCTCCAGTTTGCTCAAAAGCTTTATGCAGATTTCTACTTGGTGAATTGAATTGCAAAAAGGTGGACGTTCTTGCTACTGTTCCTCTTCTCTTCTGTATCCTCCTCCTCCTCTTCCACATCCTCCTCCTCCTCTTCCATCTCTTCCTCCTCCTCTTCCGTCTCCTCCTCCTCCTCT